AAAGACTGGAAAACGTTTCCATAGAAGATACTGCCTGCTTGCTTACCTACTGAGTTTCTCAAAACCCTTGGACTTTCTTACTGGGTACAAAACCACACTACAGGATAGAAGAGAAAAGTTTAAATAAAAAAGAAAGAAAGAAAGAAAGAAAAAAGCAAGGGAGGTGAGAAAAGTAAAGGAGGAAAAAAGGAAACAAAGCCTTTGTAAATGGGGAGGGGACAAAGGACTGAAGGGGGAGCATGGGGAAGAACAGAATCAACTTATATCATTTACAGGTACAAAATCTCTATGATGCATGTACCAATAAAATCTGGTTGAGGGCGGAGAAGATAGCTCAGTAGAGTAAGCTCTTGCCTGGCAAGCACAAGGCCCTGAGTTCAATCCACGATTCTGCCCAAAAAAAAAAAATCTGGTTGAAAAAAAGAAAATACACAGATGCCAAGTCAAAGTATGTTACTAATTTACACTGAAACAACAGTAAATAAACTCCTTCAACTCAATTCTATCTTTTAAATTTTTTATTTGAGGGGCCAGGGAGATAGATGGCTCAGTAGAAGAAGCGCTTGCCTGGCAAGTACAAGGGCCTGAGTTTAATGCCCTTGAGTTTCTCAAAACTCAATGCCCTTGAGTTTCTCAAAACCCTTGGACTTTCTTACTGGGTACAAAACCACACTACAGGATAGAAGAGAATTCAAACTATTGTTGTAGAATTGTATTTTATTTGCCCTCAGATTTTCATCACAATTAAAGACTATAAAGTTGGATAAGGGATGATTCAATCAAATTTATCCATTTGCCATACAGCTGTTAAGAAAAAATGGTCAATGGGGCTGGTGAGATAGCTCAGTGGTCTAAAGCACCTTAGAACAAGCTAAGCTAAGCAAAACTTTGGTTCTGCCAAAAAAAAAAGAAAGAAAGAAAGTAGTAATCAATAAAATAATTTCATGCTTAAGCCTAGGGCAAGTCTTCTAGAAATTCCCTCCTGAAAAGCTAAATCTAGTTGTACCTGGGTTTTTTGTTTGTTGGGTTTGGTTTAGTTCGGTTGTTTTCGTGACAAAGTGTCACTATTATTTGTTCCTGTTTAGGAAAGAAAGCTCTGCAAAATACAGCCATGGCTTTCTCTTCTGCGGATCTGTTCTTCAGGGGTTCTACTTAGAAAACAGAAAAGTCTATCAGGTGTGGAGTGGTTATTTGCTAGGCTTCGTGCTAAATGCTTTTAAGTGGAGGGTCTCAGTCAATCTTGACATTTTCCCAAACGGGCCTTGTTACGTTCGCTTAAGACGAAGAACGGGAAGCCGCGAAGTTTAAAGGCTGCTCGCGGCCGGCCAGCCAGCGGCAGACGCCTTTCTAATGGACGCTCAAATCCTTAAGCGCGAAAACTGCCTCCGAGCAGACTAAACGCTCTGTGTCGCCGGGGGATGCGCGAAACTGCTCCCGCCTTCAGCGTCCTCCGCGCCGAAAGGTCTCGGCGCCCAGGAGGGCAGCCCGGTGAGCCGGCGACCGCGGGGCGACGTCCAGGGACGCGGCAGGCGCAGACGGCGCGCCTCACCCCAGCAGGCGCGACGCGCGACCGCCCTGCGACGAAGGAACCAAGCCCGGCCGCGTGGGTCACCGTGACCCGAAGAGAGGGCGGCCGCATGACGAGCCCACCGCCTGGTTTCCTAGGCGCTGGACCAAGAACTTGGCTCACCTCCGGCCGGAGTCACGGGCAGGCACCTCCCCTCCGCTCTGCACCTCAGCCGCCATCTTCGTCAGCAACTCCTGTCCCCGCCTCGGGCTCCGCCCCCGCCTTCGGATTGGTCAAAATGTCCTCGGTCTCCCTTGCGATTGGATGCCTCGCCCGCGCCTCCGCAACATGACCGGCTTCCTGATATCATTGGTCCATTCAAATCCCCAACTGTCACTGGTGGCCCCGCCCCAGCCCCAGCGGAGAAGAAAAGGTGGGTGAGTCACTGTCTCAACTTTCCACCGGCTTCCAGTCAGAAATACTCGACCTAGGCTCATGTTTTTTCCAGAAAAATATTGTATCTGTACTGAACAGATAAAAAATCAAATTATGTGTTGTAATAGATAATTTTCAATTTATGAATTCATTAAGAGTCCCCTCCCCCTTCATCTCTATCCCTCAATTTATGAATGCATATTAAAAGTGTGATAAATGTGATGAACTTAAATCACATTTAATTTTAAATTTAATGAATCAAAAATAAAACAAATTTAACAAACCATCTCTACTGAGCAAATACAATAAAGTTGAGCAGAACTTTATCAGTGACTTTCTGAGCACCCCATGCTTGCTCCTCTAGGCAGACACCACCACTGAGCTGTGCCCCCAGTCCATCAGTAAAATTTTCATTGAACCCCATAAAGCCCTGGAAAAATTCAGTGTAAATTAGTTACTATATATACGAAGCAGGAAAGCCAAAGCTCAAATTCTGCCCATCCTCCACAGTATGAACAAATCTGAACAGGCTCCATTACATCCAGCACACAATTGATTGAATTAAATTTAAGTTTTCATGAAAGAAGAAATACCTAGTTGGCACACTGGCACATGCCTGTAATAGCAGCTACTCCAGCTGCTAAGGCAGGAGAATCATAGGTCCAAGACTGGCCTGGGTCTCAAGCTTTTTAAAAGAAGGCTGAGATCTGGTGTGTTGGCAGAGGCCAGCGTGCAAGGGGCTGAGGCAGGAGGATTGTCACAAGTTTGAGGCTAGCCTGCACCACATAATGAGTTCAAGGCCACCTGAAGTACATGAGACAGTCTCAATAAAATAAAATATAAGGGTAGGGGGTGCTAGTAATGTAGCTCAGTGGTGGAGTGCTTGCCCAGCCTGTGAAAGCCCCTCGGTACAACAGATGCACAGAAAAACAGGAAGAGAAAAAAATGAGAAGGTGGAGGAGAACAAGAAAGGAGAGGGAAGAAGAGGAGGAGTTAATGTCATTTAAAACTTTAAAATACTGGGTCGGGGAGATGGCTCAGTGGGATACAGTGCTTGCCTGGCAACACAAGGGCCTGAGTTCAATTCCTGGTTCCAAAAACCTTTAAAATGTTGCCTCTGCAACTAGGAAGAACACCACAGAACTGTATATTTGATTCACATGCCTTATTAAAGAATTACATTTTTGAATAATGTTTGGGAAAATGTAGCACAGTGCATAAAAGCACAGGCTCTGGGGCTAGCCCAGGTTCAAATCCCAATCCATCACCTCCTCGAGGCTGGGGATTTGGCTCAGTGGGAGAACGCCTACCTAGCTAGCTGGAAGCCCTGGGTTCAGTCCTCAGCACCAAAAACAAAAAATAAACCTCCTCTAAAAAACAATTCAACCAAAAAAAAAAAACCTGTAAAATCAAAAAAGACCAAAAACAAACAAGGCAACCAATCCATCACCTCCCAAGTTACTGTCTGATGCCATTTCCTCTTCTGTAAAATAAGGATAATAATAATTCTCCCAGGGCTTAGGTACAGATTAATGAGATAATCTCTGAAAAGCTGCTTAACAGAACAGGGTCTGGCACACGCTGGGACTAGATGACATAAAGAAGACGAAGCGGGCCACACTCCCTCAGACGGCATCTCTCTCTCCCTGTGCCGTGTCATAAGGACCACACATGACACAATGGTTTCCGTTTAATCAGTTACTCTGGAGAGGGCCGTGTTCCTCCTCAAAACCAACTGCTCCGATGCTGTGTCTTCCGATGAAGAGCAACATCATGGCTGGGTGCGGTGAAAATACGTGCTCAGCGGGCAGGTACGCACGCCTTGCTTCTGTGAGAGGGTCACAACTCCCCGGAAGATGTCCTTACTCTGCGGGTACAGACTGTCAGCCTGTGATAAGCATGACTGTCCAGCAGGAGTTCAAGCCAATTCATACGAGTACCTTGTTTCCAACAAGCACACTGAACAGAGGTCACAGAGCAGTGGCCCAGCTCTCGAGGAGTTTACCAGAGACCCGGGGCGAGAACAGGAGTGCACAATAAAGTCACCCACAACAGAACACAGTTTAGAATTATGAAGGACTAAATACGTAGAGAACAGACTGCCAGGAGGTCAGAGGTATAGAACGAATGGCCAAGCCCGTCTGGCGTGGTTAAGAGCTAGGGTGAGGGGGGCTTGTGGGTTAGCTCAGTTGTTTAAGCGCCTGCTGGAGCAAACCTAGTCAGGCCCAGGGGACCGCGATTCGAGCCCCAGCTCCCCATGCCTCACCAGACCCACCCTTAAGGCAGTCTGAGCCAGCCAAAAAATAGAAATAAAAATAAAACAGCTAGGGTGAGCACTTGAGTCTGCCATACATGTCACTGCCAGTCCATTCAACACCCGCCAGAGTGCAGCTTTAGGGCAGAGGTGGCATTCTAATCTTCTGTGTTTCCAGCCTTAGCCTTGATGGTGGGGAAGAAAGTAAAAGAATAAACAAGGTGGGGAAAAGGATGGAGGGGCCACTGTGTGTCCTCATGCATGGTGGCCCACTCTCTGCTGTAGGGTGCACATCTTTTCTTACATACACTTGGCTCAAACTCACTCTGCAGAGCCTGTTTCTTTTCCTACCTTTCATAAGACTTTGCTAACCTCCCCCCCAAGAAGACGGATGACCTTCCCGTGGCTCTGCCTCTAACTTCACTTGCAGTAAGGAGAGTGACTTGCAGTCCCTAGAGGCATCATTCTGTCTTCCACTGTTGTTGTTTCTCCCTCTTAAAGTAGATTTCTACAGCTGTATGGCTTGTACTTAGATGGTCCCCCAGAGCCTCATGTGTTCTTAGAAGGAGCTTCCTACAGGTGGCTGGATCTAGGGTACGTGATACCGGAATAAGGGTATGTGGTAATAAATTAGCCCACTAATTGGAATTTGCATAGTCCTGGGTTTGGCTGACACCACCCAAAAGGTTTGTAACCCAGATGAGATAAAAGGGAAAGTGCTTGCTGCCTTCTGCTTGCCACACTATGGACTATTTTTTTTTCATGAATATGACTTCATTTATTTTTTTGTGGTACCGAGGATTGAACTCAGGACCTTGCACTTCCCAGGCAAGTGCTTATTCTACTGAGCTATCTCCCCAGCCACACTGTGGACTATTTCTCCTCTGTGATTTCTCTCTGCCATGCCATCCTGCCTTGGAACCAGCCAACAATGGATTGAAACCTCTGCGAACTACATGCAAAAACAAACCTTTTCTCTCTCTTTTTTTTCTCCAATGGTTGTGATTTATTGGATTCTGAACTCAGACATAAATAATTTAATAGCTTTT